TAATAACTCGAACTCAGGAACCAATCCTTGCAACAAACCTCGGTGCCAACTCTGCCCACATATATACACCAGCAACACCATCACAGGACCTAACCAGACCAGCCATACTGTCACTGGTACATTCTCCTGCACATCCACCAACGTAATATATGCCATCATGTGCCAACAATGCCCCACTGCTATATACATCGGCCAAACAGGACAGTCCCTACGTAAAAGAATCAATGGACACAAATCTGATATTAGGAATGGCAACATACAAAAACCTGTAGGGGAACACTTCAATCTTCCTGGACACACAATTGCAGATCTAAAAGTAGCCATCCTGCAGCAAAAAAACTTCAGGACCAGACTTCAAAGAGAAACTGCTGAGCTACAGTTCATCTTCAAGTTTGACACAATCAACTCAGGATTAAACAAAGACTGTGAATGGCTAGCTAACTACAAAAGCAGTTTCTCCTCTCTTGGAATTCACACCTCATGATCAGCTACTAGAAGTGGGCCTCATCCTCCCTGACTGGATCGACCTGGTCATCTCCAGCCTGATTCTGGCCTGCATATTTATATCTGCCTCTGGAAATTTCTACTACATGCATCTGACGAAGTGGGTCTTTGCCCACGAAATCTTATGCTCCAATACTTTGGTTGGTCTATAAGGTGTCACAGGACTCCTCGCCGCTTTTGGAGTACCGATTGTTATGCACGCAGCCGAAAGTTTATCACCACCGACGGAGTAGAGGCCCTGTCAGGAGCACACCAGGACGATCCAGACCAGACGACACTGACACTGACAGTTCAGATGACCGAAGGTACTGAGGTACGAAAACACCGAGGTACGACAGTACCGTCTCTCTGTGCGTTTGGCCATACGGTGCAATGAAACCAGGCTCTTGCCACTAGTTTTTTGTGACATTTTTATGAGTTTTCAATACAATCCTAGATAGACCTGATGGGGCCAGTATGTTGACCACTGGGGGGCAGCATTGTCGACCACATCTTCTCTCTGAACACCCAACCTGTGAGCTACTCTGTGCAATAGCTGCTGCAGAACTCGGGGCGTCCTCAAGGGCACTGGCTACAGACAAGCCTCACTAGGTCTCGGCAGGTGAGGAGGAGGATGACACTAGTAATGAAGGAGGCTGCTCCCTCCCATTCCCACCAGCAGGGTCTCTAGAACTCAGCAGTACGGGCAATGCATAAGGTAGTGGTCAACAACTGCTAGATCGGGATCTACCAATGGATCTTGGAGCCTCTGACAGATGATCCCGATTTATTTGGCCGGGAAGCATCAAGAGCTGCACTTCATCTGCCCCTGCACCCACTGACATGCTGCTCCTGCCCTCTGCCTTGGAGCTGCCCTCCGGGGAGCTACCTGATCGCTGTGCAGGGTGGGGGAGGGAGAAGAGGGAGGGATTGATGTCAGGGTATCCCTCCTCCCTCCACCTGTGTACCTTGTCTCCACACAGCAAGAAAGGGATGGAGGAAGGTTGGCAATGCAAATCTCTGTCACTCTCACACACTGCGTGTCTCTGTCATTCTCACAAACACACACTGTCCTTCACTCGCATCTCCCGCCCACGTATGGGGGATGGTTGTTACTTCTGTTACTGCTTGCAAAGTGGGTTATTTTCGGGGTTTGGCTGGTCTGTACATGTCATAATTTAACTTTTCTGGAGTGCAACCCCTGGCTTCTGCCCTGACCCTGCTGGAAGGCCCAGGGGGTCCAAAAGGGCTATTGTGTGGGGTCCTGCTGTTGCAGTGGCTACTGGGAATAGTTGGGCCTTCCTCAGTGCCCGAATGATGATGTCCTGCTGCTGCTGTACCCCAATCTGTAGGAGTCAGAATCCAACTCATGGGGGAGGGCCTGCACCTTTCAATAAAAATGGCCACCGGACTGTGCCAGCTCAGCTGATCGTCGGCATAGCGCGCGAGTCAAGACACGGACCAGTCGACAAGGGAAGCTCAGCACAGCAGCCATTTTTATTTTAATGACGCTGGGGATATTTAAATCCCAACTTCATTGATTATGTTGGGTAATCTACTTTACATGCCTCTGGTGACAGAGGCATGTAGTCTAGACATACCCTAAATGCCTCTTCTGTGGAGGGCATGGATAGTCGTTCAGAAAGCACCAGGGACACAACTGTAGGAGTCAACCCCTCTTCCCCAGCAAACTTATCCAAACTTTAAAAAACAACAAGTAGTCCTGTAGCACATATGGGTACGTCTGCACTACAAGCTTCTTCTTTTGGAATAAGCTTTCCTGGAAGATAGCTTCCGCCAAATCTTATTTCAAAATAGAGCATCCACGCTACAGGGAAGCCTCAAAATTAGTCTGAGGCTGGCTCCCCCAAAGGGGAGCCCCAGGGGGCATTGGGGAGGAATAAGTTTAGAATGGCCCTGATGAGGAGTTATTTTGACAAAGCAGCAGTGGAGCGTCCACATAGCTTTTTCGGAAGAGGCGTTATTCCTCGTAGAATGAGGTTTACCAACATTGGGAAAAGCCCTCTATTATTTCAGTTTTCTTTCAAAATAATGGAATTCCTCTGTGCATGCTAGTATTGTTTTTCCAGAATACCAGCCGTTATTCTGGAAAAATAGTGCAGTGTAGATAAACCTGGAGGGTGTGTCTAGACTACAGGGTTTTTTTTAAAAAAAGTGGCCTTTTTTAAAAAAACTTCCCCTGCATTTAGACTGCTGTCGCATTCTTTTGAAAGTAAATTGAAAGAACGCAGCAGTTTTTTCAACCGTGGAAAACCTCCTTTTATGAGAAATAACGCTTTTTTTAAAAAGTGCTCTTTCAAAAAAAAGGCACTATGTAATGTAAACTGTGCTTTTTCAAAAGAGAACATCCAGACTGCCTGGGTGCTCTCTTTCGAAAAAGCAGTTTGCTTTTTCAAAAGTACTGGTTGTAATCTAGACGCTCTTTTTCGAAAGAGGCTTTTCCAAAAGTATCTTTTGAAAAAGCCGCTTTCGAAAGAGGCTTGCAGTCTAGATGTAGCCTTAGAGACTAACACAAATAGATGTATATTATCATGAGATTTCATGAGCAAAACCCACTTCTTCAGAAGAGCAGAGGGGAGAGGAAGAGGAGGGATTCTCACAACTTAAATCAGAAAAAGAAGGGGGAATTGTAGTGCTGGTGCTAATGAGGCTAATTGAGTGGGGTGGAAGTGTCCCATACTTATCAGAAACCTGTCAAAGCATATTTTAACTTACTTGGGCACAAATCATTAATGGATTTAAAAGTAGCCATTCTTCTACAAAGAAATTTCAAAAACCAACTACAGAGAGAGCAGAATTGACCTTCATATGCAAATGTGATACTTCCAGCCCAATCAATTAGCCTCAATAGCACCAGCACTATAATTGACAGTTACTCCCCCCTCCTCTTCTTTTTCTGTTATAAATTGTGAGGATCCCCCCTTTCCATTCCACTCTGCTCATCTGAGGAAATGGGTTTTGGCCACAAAAAGCTCAAAACAGAAAAAATGCTTAACTACTTGTGAGGCAAGAAACGAGCAAGGGGAAGTTGTAGATACTGTTACTGGCAGTAAGAAGGAACTGAAGGGGGGTGTTGGCAGGGCTCCATATTGGGTGTCATATCAGCACCACTCCAAGGGAACTCTTTTTGAATAAGTGGGGCAAGATCTGGCCGCAAATATAAAGCCAATCATTTCCCTAAAAAGTGATTGTTTTGCTTAGTTGGGTATTCTATGAAATTCACAGCATTGTACAACACTACACCATGTGCAGTATATGCCACTTGTTAAAGCTGAAGGAAGAGCTCATGCTGATACCTTTGCTTTTGTGGCAAAAGCGTTCCCATAGACTCTGGGGCAGCCATAGAACCATTGCACCCCAGCGCTGTTCCTGGATCCATTGCTTGGGAAGAGAGATTTGGGAACCACCAGCATAAACTTCCTTTTCCCAGTTAGATTTGCCACCAGCTACATACACTTTGAAACATTCCCCTACATCTCTCCCTCTGTATTTCACACAAAATCAATTTCCTGACATCAATAATGCCCCTTCCCATCCGTCCATGTACTGGTTGAGAGAATAACCTTTTCTAACTTTTTTAAAGTCAGTAAATGTAGCTTGCAATTAGGAATAATATAGAAATAATATGGGAGACTACCAGACACTATTTTAACCATAAATTCCTAAAGTCTAAAGGCCAAATGGTATTTTGTACAATTGATCTAAGCATTCCTGTTAGCCTTGAAATAAGCAGCCACTATGCCCAATACAGTAACAAAGTATTCATAGCCATGGGATCAGTATACTTACAAATAGTCCTGACCTAGAGAAAACCATATAGTCTGGTGTGCACAAGCTGTTAGGGTTTGACAAAGAACGCTTACCTTCATAACTCCTTTTATATCCTTCTCAAAACAAATGATGCCATTGCCAGTTGCCACATTACTTAATGGCTAATTTGAGACAATTCACCTTAATTTTCAGTTTTAATCCAAGTGAGATTTACAACCTGCTTTCTCCCAAGCGCTTTGCTCCTTATCACTTCTCTTCCTCCCTACTGACTGATAGCATTTTCCTTGCACTTGGGTTCACACAGGCTTTACTTTAAGATACTACAGGTATCTGTGGCCAATGGATAGCTTCATGCTGGCTCCTTTTCACACTAATTCTCTTTGCCTTATTTTAAACCATCAGCAGTCAACTGTCGGTCAGAGGCCTTCTTTTTAGAAACTCCCTACTCTCATTTTTTAATTAGACATCCTCCCTATTCCGTTCCTTCTGGTCTTATTATTTTTCAAGGCCTTCCCCGTACTTTCTGGTCGAGCCCTTTTTTTATACAACATATATATTCTTAAACTTAAACCAACTCTGATTTGTAATTTCATATACTTTTACATTTCCATACTAGTTTGAATTAAATAGCCCAGAAAATGAATTTCAACCCAAAATACTCCTATGAACTAAGAAAGTGATAGGAGTAGGAATGAGTAACTTATCTTAGTAGGAAACAAACATACCAGTAGTTTGTCCTAGAAAAGCCAAGATCACCAAGAAATGCATTCTTCTGCCAGGAAGAGTTGCAAAGATCTTCTCTTCTTGGTGTGTCTCTAATTCTAAAAACTGTCTTGTGGAGAGAGAGGAAAGCAGAAGTTTAGTGAGCGATAGAAAAAGTAACAGGAAACAGATAATGAAAATTACAATTCTGCCACTTCTGCTGTTTATATTAGAATGGGAGACACTTCCACTACACAGAAGCCTACTGTCATTCACTGATAACTGAGGTAATTTATACCTTGGCAAATAAAGTTCCAAAACTAGAGGCTCTTAGGCAGGAGGAGAAGGAATTCCATAGAATAGCCCAGGAGTAGGCAATAATTTTTGCAAGGGGAGCCATTTAATGAATTTTCGTGCATGGTTACGGGCTGGCTGACAGCCCCCCAGGAGAGGCGAGGTCTCATGTGGATGGGATGGGGTTAAAAGAGAGAGACAGAAAGAGGGTATGTCTACACAGCAAAGTCATTTCGAAATAATAGCTGTCATTTCGAAGTAACTTTACCAGCATCTACACAGCCAAACCGCTATTTTGAAATTAAATCAAAATAGTGAAGGGCTTATTTCAAAATTGGTAAACTTCATTCCACGAGGAATAGCATCAATTTTGAAATTGCTATTTTGAAATAAGCACTGTGTAGACGCTTATAGCGAAATAGGGGGCCTCCAGCCCTTCCCAAGGTGCCCTGGTGGCCACTCTGGCCACAACCAAGAAAAGTCCTCTCCCTCCTCCCCTCCCCAGAGCCCTTAAAGGGGTATACTCTGGCCACGGTGCCTGTACCAGCTCCAAGCCTGCCAGCCCAGAGCCAGCAGTCACTGCACCAGACCCAGTGGCCCCAGCATGAAACAGGCAAGACCCAGTGGCCCCAGCATGAACCAGGCAGCCGGTGCCAGCCAGCCCTCCACTGCTAACCAGAACCAGTCTGCCAGCTCCCAGGAGCCTGCCAGGGGTCGGAAAAGGCGGGCACCTGCCTGGTCCAGTGCGGAGATAAAGGACCTAATTCAGGTTTGGAGGGATGCCTACAGTGTCCATGATCTCCGCACTAAATGGAAGAACGCAACCGTCTACAGGCGGATGGCTGCCAGCCTGGCCACCAAAGGCCACATGAGAACCTAGGAATAGGTTCACATGAAAATAAAGGAGCTGCAGCAGGCGTATGCCAGGGCCACAGGGGGCAGCTCCCAACCAGGAGCAGACCTAGACCTCTCCACCTATTTTGATGCAGGATGGTCCGTGCCCCCCAGGTGGTCATCAACCCTGGGGCAGGGCTTGCTGCCTCCTGCTGCTCCAGCCCCTGCTGCCTCCCCTGCTACCACTCCTCCTTCCACTCCTTCTACCCCTCCTGCTTCTTCCTCCCCACCCTCCCCACAATCCCAGGGATGCTGAGCACCCATGGTGTTGGGAGGCAGTTTGGCAGGCAAGACCCCCAATCCTGAGTCCTGAGCTTCTCCTCCCCCTGCCTCTCCTTGCCTCTCCCTGCCAGCTCCCTCCTCCCAGGTTTCCCCGTCCCCTCTCACACCCACCCTCCTCCCCTCTCCCACCTTCTTTCCCCAGTCTCACCTCAGTTTCATCGCCCCCCGCCCCGCCACCCCAGTTCAATAAAGAGGCTTTTTCATAGAATCATAGAACCATAGAGCTGGAAGAGACCTCAGAAGGTCATCAAGTCCAGCCCCCTGCCCAAGGCAGGACCAATCCCACCTAAAGAAAGTTCCCTATAGCAACTCCTATCATCCCTCCATTGACCTATTTCCAACTGGAAATGAATGGTCAATTAGTTACCAAGATCATGTTATTTCATCCAACCATCCCCTTATCATAGAATCAGAACTGGAAGAGACCTCAGAAGGTCGTCAAGTCCAGCCCTCCGCTCTAGGCAGGACCAATCCCATCTAAATCAACCCGGCCAGGGCTTTGTCAAGCCGAGACTTAAACACCTCTAGGGATGGAGACTCCACTACTTCCCTAGGTAACCCATTCCAATGCTTCACTACCCTCCTAGTAAAATAGTTTTTCCTAATATCCAATCTGGACCTCTCCCACCACAACTTGAGACCATTGCTCCTTGTTCTGCCATCTGTCACTACTGAGAACAGCCTCTCTCCATCCTCTTTGGAACCTCCCTTCAGGAAGTTGAAGGCTGCTATCAAGTCCCCCCTCACTCTTCGCTTCTGCAGACTAAACAGACCCAAGTCCCTCAGCCTCTCCTCGTAGGTCATATGCTCCAGACCCCTAATCATTTTGGTTGCCCTCCGCTGGACCCTCTCCAATGCGTCCGCATCCTTTTTGTAGTGGGGGGCCCAGAACTGGACACAGTACTCCAGATGTGGCCTCACCAAAGCCGAATAAAGGGGAATAATGACATCTCTGGATCTGCTGGCAATGCTCCTCCTCATGCAACCTAATATGCCATTAGCCTTCTTGGCTACAAGGGCACACTGTTGACTCATATCCAGCTTCTCATCCACTGTAACCCCCAGGTCCTTTTCTGCAGAACTACTACTTAGCTGGTTGGTCCCCAGCCTGTAACAATGCTTGGGATTCTTCTGTCCCAAGTGCAGGACTCCACACTTGCCCTTGTTGAACCTCATCAGATTTCTTGTGGCCCAATCCTCCAATTTGTCTAAGTCACACTGGACCCTATCTCTGCCCTCCAGCGTATCTACCTCTCTCCGGTCCTAGAACTGAACCTTGGGGCACTCTGCTAGAAACCAACCACCATCCTGACATCAAGCCATTGATCACTACCCACTGGGCCCGGCCTTCTAGCCATCTTTCTAACCATCTTACTGTCCATTTATCCAATCCACATTTTTGTAATGAACACGTGTCTTTTATAGTACAGCAGGAAGGGGGGGGTTAGAGAGAGGTAAGTGGAAGGATGTGAGGGAGGAATGAGGCACGTGCCCCCAGTGGGGCACACCAGGGATCCTGTTACTGCCTGCAGAACGTGCTGCCAGGCTCACAGCAACAGGTCCAGGAGAAGCACCAGAGTGCCCGGGGGTGGCTCCGACACCATGCTGTAGAGTACTGTGGTGTCCTGAGTGAGGGCAACCAGATCATACAGAGAAAAAAATGCTTTGCTGTCCCTCATCGAGGTAGGCAAGCAAGCAGGGAAACCTTAGAACTGGCTGTCCAGGGGGGTCTCTTTAAGCACAGGTCTCAGATAGCCTCAGGCAGCAGCCACTCAAGGCAACCCTGACCTGATGCCCTGCCAGAACCAGTTCTGGCCAGCCTTAAATGCGATTTAGCATCCTATCAGTGTGGACATGCTATTTCAAAAGAGCAAAATGCTATTTCAAAATGCATTTTGCGTGTAGACGCATTATTTCGAAATAACTATTTTGAAATAATGCTGTAGTGTAGGCATACCCAGAGAGACAGAGAGAGACTGTGTGTGTGGGAGACAGACTTTGAGGCAAAGTTTGAGTGTGTGTGGCACAGAGAATAGGAGAATGTGTGACAGTGACTGTGTGTGTGTGTGTATGTGTGTGTGTAGCAGAGACAGTGTGGCACAAACTGGGTGTTTGTGACAGTGACACAGAGTGTGTGTGTGTGGTTACTGCTGCTGGGTAAGTTTCTGAGAGCAGCCATGCCCTCTCTCTTTAAGACAGGAAAAGCTGTCCTGCTCTGTCGTCTCCCTCCTCCAATGTGTGTGTGAGAGGGAGAGAACAAGCACTGAAATCCGGGAAACAGGGCACCGCCTATTAAGACAGGCACTCTACTGAGTCACTCACCATACATGTTTCCGATTGAAGCACTTCTGCTATGTGTCACCTTCTCCTTGACCCCGGCTCTCCAGAGATGGGGCACAGGGGCAGGGAGACACCCTGACTTCGGCATTTCATAGAATCATAGAATCCTAGGGCTGGAAGAGACCTCAAGAGTCATCGAGTCCAACTCCCTGCCCAAAGCAAGACTAACCCCACCTAAATCATCCCAGCCAGGGCTTTGTCAAAACAAGACTTAAAAACCTCTAGCAAGGCAATTCCACCACTTCCCTAGGGAACCCATTCCAGTACTTTACCACCCTCCTAGTGAAATAGTTTTTCCTAATATCCATCCTAGACCTCTCCCACTGCAACTTTATACCATTGCTCCTTGTTCTGCCATCTGTCACTACTGAGACCAGCCTCTCTCCATCCTCTTTGGAACTTCTTTTCAGGATGTTGAAGGCTGCTATCGAATCCCCCCTCACTCTTCTCTTCTGCAGACTAAATAAGCTCAAATCCTTCAGCCTCTCCTCATAGGTCATGTGCTCCAGCCCCCATTTTGGTTGCCCTCCACTGGACTCTCTCCAATGCGTCCACATCTTTTCTGTAGTGGGGGGCCCAGAACTAGACACCGTACTCCAGATGTTGCTTCACCAGAGCTGAATAAAGAGAAAGAGTCACTTCTCTAGATCTGCTGACAATGCTCCTACTATTGCAACCTAATATTCCATTTGCCTTCTTGGCTACAAGGGCACATTGTTGACTCATATCCAGCTTCTCATCCACTGTAATCCCCAGTTGCTTTTCTGTTGAACTGCTACTTAACCAGTCAGTCCCCAGCCTGTAACAACACTTGGGACTCTTCCGTCCTAAGTGCAGGACCCTGCACTTGTCCTTGTTGAACCTCATCAGATTTCTTTTGGCCCAGTCCTCTAATCTGTTTAGGTCACTCTGGATCCTATCCCTTCCCTCCAGCATAGCTATCTCTCCACCTAGCTTAGTGTCATCTGCAAACATGCTGAAGGTGCAATCCATCCCCTTATCCAGATCATTAATAAAGATGTTGAACAAAACCGGCCCTAGAATCAATCCTTGGGGCCAGTACCCCACGGCCTGGATGTGTCCCAGGCATCATCCGAGGCCAGGGAAGGAACATCGAGTGAGTGACCTTAGTTACCAGACAGACAGAGTGGAGGTGGCGAGCAGCGAGGGGCTAAGGTGTGCTCCTCGCACCGTCTTCTCAGTCTGGGGGTCCGTGCATGTAGATGCATATGCAATGGCAGTCTGAGCCACACAGCCCTAGGAGGCTGCACCAGAGCACCCTTGAGCTCTTGCTCATAGGTTCTTGGG